GCATTCCTGTGATATTTATTCATATATGTAGTCCCTACAACTGCCAGTACTTTATGGGGTGTTTAGGAGGAAAGCTAAATTTTGTTTTGTTTTCTTGAACACAGAACTCTTCACAGGTGTAGTGGCTTTGGGTGATTTCAGGGCACGGAACAAAACAACAAACCAGCGAAAAGGCCAGACACCACTAAAACTTTGGGAAGGAAAAATCAGAGAAAAGAGCTAGTAGCTCAAGATTCTCACCTCTTTCCATTCCCAGAATGAAACTCCTTGAGAACAAGGACTGTTGCTAGGATTCTGTATAGTACCTGAAACACTAATCAATACTCGGGTGGCTGATACGTTTTCCCTGGAATTGTCCCAACCCAGGATAGAAGATCCGGAACTCGGGGATCTCCTTGAAGTCCTAGCCTCTAACGCTGCTGCTTCATTGGGAGTGGATGGAGTTAGCCCTTTTTGGGAAATGTGACACAATTCTCAGACTTTGAAGCCGTTAGCCACAGTCTGAGGGTCTGTTGCTTTACCACTGAAATGCTGCCACCTCCCGGATAGGGTGTAACAAGTGGCCAGCAGCTGCGGATGGCTTCCCGAGCCAGAGGGCAGCCTGCCAGCCCTGTGGCAATCAAAAGCAGGAATCAAAGCCTCTGGGGGAAGGGGTGAGTTCCCATACAGGGTTTGGTCCAACCAGATGCTGGACTGCTGGGAAATGACGTAAAACTTGCTTTGGCCTTTGGGGTGAAGGTCACAGCATCCAACTAGCCCAGTCTCTTGTCACAGACCACTCTTTGATCCTGGGGGTCCTTGCTTGGTGTGGGCCGTGAGAACAGTTTTTGGGATTTCGGCTCTGGTTTTAGAGGTCTGGCACACCACGGTCCAGGGTGGAGCCAAGACTTCTATTCCACAGGAGACTGGAAATCTCTCCTGCCCAGGACCTAGCCTTGGGGAGGTAGGTCAGAGGGCCTAGCACATGAGGGGACAGTGGTTCCCATCCAGGGTAGCTTCACCTCCTTTGTCCCTTGAGTCTCATTTCTGTGTGTCGAGGTTTTAGGGTTCACCCGCCCGCTACTCCACCACTGCCCTCGCTGAGCTCTCCCAGCTCCTGACTCCCCAGTCTCCCTCTTGTCCCCGCCTTATCAGTTCTCCACACATCTCAAATACATCCCTGAGCAGAATCACTTGCTCTGAACTCTCAGAATGATCTCCAGTGGCCAAAGAGTGAGGTCCAAGTTCCTGAGGCTTTAACATGCCATATGACCAGAATCCTGTCCTCTGTCATGGCGACCCCATCCATGCCCTTGGTCCCCCTCAACCCCTTTCTGCCATCTGATGGGCATACCTGATACTCTCCAAGCCTTGAGCCTGTTTCCTTGTCTATTAAATAGGGACAGTAGGAGCCAGCAGGTGGTATGGTGCTTGAGGTGCTGGAGCCACATGGCTGCCCATGCAGTTTTTTTTTTTTTCCCCGGAGAGGTTTTTGCTCTAGGGTGCGTGCAGTCGCCAGACAGACAGAGAGACAGAGAAACAGAAAACAGGAAATCACCCCCTGGGGGTGATTTCTCCTCTCGGGATCTTGGGCACGCACGCACACGCGCCCAGCGTGAGTTTAAGCCACCGGGTCCAGGACTCGAACCGCAGTCGACTACATGGGAGTCCAGCGACATAGCCGTTACGCTAACTGCTGGTCCCTGCCCATGCAGTTTGAGTCCCAGACCTGCTGCTTGGAAAATACGCCAGGCATTTGTGTGTACGTGCCCAAAATCCTAAGAGGAGAACGGAGGAGCAGGAATTGTGTGGCCATCCCTCCTGGGGGAAGATTCTTTATCACTTCCCCCACCTCGGTGAGCACAGGTGCTCTATAGCAAAAGTAAATAAATAAAGCCTTTAGCACAACATGTAATAGACACTCCAAAATGTATTGGGTGCTCGGGAAAAGTCATGATGCCTTTGCATAGAAAAACAAAAATACGTCACGACTTTCCTGACAACCTAATAGTTATTAGTATTGGTGTTGTCTTTCTTGCTCACAGTTGTTAGGTGAGGTCCTACTCAATCTTCAAAATACTTTGTTTTTTTTAGAACAGTTTTAGGTTCGTGGCAAAATTGAAGGGAAGGTAGAGTTTCCATGCCTCTCCCCCGTCCCCCCTTCCCGCCCTCCTCGGGCATAGCCTCCCCATTACCAACAGCTCACACCACAGTGGTCCACTGGTGATGACTGAGGGGCTTACACTGACACCATTACCTCCCAGAGTCCTTCGTTCACATGCAGGCTCGGTCTTGGTGTCGGACATGCTGTGGGTTTAGGCAAACACATAATGGCATGCCACCATGAGTATCACACAGATGGGGGTTCACGGCCCTGAAAGCCCTCTGTGCCCCCCTTGTCTATCCATCCCTCCCACAGGCCCGACGCATGTTTAGAGCGTTCATTCTCTGGTCTCACGACTTTCAGGGAGCCTCTCTGATCCCCATGGTTTTCACCAAACCCTCTTTTCTCACTGGTCTGAAAACATTGTCTTATTCCAGTGGCTTGATACTCACTAATTATGTGCATGTTTGGGTTATTTGTGTTTATAGGCTTTATGAGGTTTTGAGGAAATACATGTATGTATATATACACTTCTAAATTATCTTATTGAATTTTATTTATTTAACCAGAGAGGAACAGAGAGAGAAAGAGAGGGAAAGTGTGAAAGCAAGCCACCAGGTCTGGGACTCGAACCATGGTCGACCATGTGGGAATCCAGTGCCTTTAGCCACCACGCTACTTGCTGGCCCCAAATAATACACACACACACACATATATATGAAATACTTTGTCCCCTACTCTGTGGCAATTATATGAAATACTTTGTCCCCTACTCTGTGGCACCTAGCAGTTAGCAGCTCACAAAACAGGTGCTCAGTTAACCACTGGCTTTAGTGGGTGAGGGGTCAAAGGACAGGTTCTAGCCCTGGACCTTCCTACCATTAGGTTTTCCTGTCAGAGAAGGGTCACTTTACAGCCACCTTCAGTTCCAGGACCTTGCTCATGATAAGCGGGCCAGCAGGTGGTGCGGAGGCTAAGGCGACCAGATCCCACATGACTGAGTGCACAGTTCGAGTCCTGGTTCTAGAGGCTTGAAAATCACAGCAGATGTGACGCTTACACGCCCAAAGGACAAGGGAAGAGAAAGGATCGTA